CGCATATTCCCTTATAGATATAATCCTAGCTCCTAGCTGTTCTTATGAGAGTGAGGCGCAGAGTGTGTAGCTATCCCTGATACCGTCATAGGCACTTGTGAGGAGATTTTAGTCTATTTTTTTCTAGTCGGGTGGGTGCGCACCCGCCACACAAAAAAAAAAGTAGGTCGCGTTAAGCGTCTCTTTTTTGCCAATGTGTCCCTGAGACCACCAGAGGGCGCCAGCGACTCGGGGAGAAGAAAAAAATTCGGATGAGACAGTGAAACTTCCAGAAAAAAAGGGCAGCGGTACGCCGAACGCTGCTCTCACTCCCTTTGTCTTGAGGCTGCAGAACCAGTCGAGCCCAGCAGGTGGGGAGAATCCTCTCAGAACACCTACCCGGCTTTCTGAGAAGACTTACAAACCCCACTGAAGGGACATTTATGATACGATGGTCTGAGACCTCGTTTTATTCTTTATTTTTGTATATTTAACGCTGTATGAGGACTTTATGTAAGAACTCGGGCACAATCAGCTCTCCTAAAACCAATCTCTTTGAGGCCAATTTTCAGGATTTTGTGATTCTGGCAGTGTCGCCATCAGATGGTCATCAAGTCCTCGGGGTGTGGGTAGTGTAACGTCAAGGTGACGCGATCTGCTTTGCTTGCAGGCTGGTTCGTGACCCGCGGGCCAATTTCGACCAGTCCCTGAGCGTCCTGAAGCACGCCAAGAAAGTGAAGCCCTCACTGCTGTCGAAGACCTCCATCATGCTGGGCCTGGGGGAGACGGATGGGCAGGTGTACGCGGCGATGAAAGGTGAGTTTCCCCCCCCAGCAGCTGCAGCCGAGAGAGAGGACTGGGCGGGCCCCCCAGTGTCGGAACCCCAGTATGAACGACGGTGACATTTTACACCAGCTCGGCCTGCCCTCCCGAAGAGCCGATCTTTGAAATCGATTGTCAGGGTCAGTCTCATTGTTGAGGAATTTGGAGAAGGAGACAAAACCACCATTTTTATTTCAATTATCCTGTCCATATGAAGTTCAAGTTCAGTATATATCTAGATTCCTGCTTATGAAATATCTCTATTTGCATGACATGATGTGGTAAACTTCAAAGGTTTAGTGATGAAAATGATCCTTAACTAGACTTTTCTTGAAAGAAGCCTGAGAGTCTGGAGCAAACGAAACCCTGGATTCTTTCAACATACTGTACAGCTGGAAGAGACCTTCAGATCAATCAGCTATTAGCAACCCGATGAACTACCTGGGCAGAATGGCCTTCTGTCATCTGTAACCTTTCTCCTGTTCTAAACAGAGCCTGATTTGGGGAGAACAGGACAGAAGCAATCTTTTCCAGTCTTGTGCATATGTTTATCCATAATGTTGTTCTAATGCTGACTATTGAAGAACACATATTGTGCAATGCGCAAGTAAGACTTCATTTACAATATTGGTAGTACAAAAGACACTGGAATCAAAATGATGGTAAAAGTATTTAAGATCCAAAATCCCAATACTTTTCTAAAAGAATACATGCATGAACAGATTGAAGTTTCTTTTTGATGGTCAGTATATAGAGGGGTAATGTATAACTTGTAACAAATAGAATTCAGAATTCACTCAAGGGGGTTTCCCAGTGTATAAATGTGAGCTTGTTTTTGTGTTGCAATTCCAAGAGCCTCACCAATCAAACAGCTCTTTCCCCAGTGTATAGGAAGAATTGTCCAGTGCTGCCATCTAAAAGAGATGTTTTTCTTTGAGATGAAAAGGCTACTAATTGTAAAGTTAGCAAGCCTTGTGGTTTTCAAGATCGGATGTTCTAAAGTGCTGTTTGTTTGTGCTTGTGTCCCCACACAGAGCTGCGGGAGTCTGGAGTGGACTGTCTCACTTTAGGACAGTACATGCAGCCGACAAAACGCCACCTCAAGGTCAGACTTCCTGTATCGCATTCAAGTAGGCTGCCACTAACATCCCCTATGGAAGCGTTAGCTGTAGATCTAGATCAGCATTCCCCCCAGTCTGGTCCTGGATGGCCCCAGTCCAGTTAGTCTTCCAGGGCACCTGTTAAATACCTAGAAAACCTGCTGGACTGGGGCCCTCCAGGACCAGGGCTGGAGACCTCGGTGGTGGATATTCCCGTTAACACACACAGCGGTCTTAGTCATTTCACTCAGTGCTGCAGTAAAGATTTAGCTGGGAGATGCGCGGTCTGCATTTTATTGTGTGTCAGGCCTTCCCTGTAAAAGCAGGTTCACTGCAACCAAAAGGAGAAATTCTAGCACTCCGACAACCTGTCATACAAAAAGCACAGAGTGGGACTCAACCAGTAAATGTAGCCACGTGACTGGGGAGATCACGGCTCACAGTCAAGAGCTAGCTCGGGGGGAAAAAAATAGGTCTTCACAAAAAAGCTGAAAAGCAAGGTGTGTAAGACAGTTCCTAATCCTCTGTCCTGTTGTAAAAGACATTAAAGAGCGAATTAACTTTTCTGTCTTGACTCCCAGACGCGTTCCCACTCTGCATGCTTCTGTTTGTCTCCCCCTGCCAACGATGGCTTTGTCTCGGCTCCACAGGTGGAAGAGTATGTGACTCCGGAGAAGTTCCAGCACTGGGAAAACATTGGGAAAGAGCTGGGCTTCATGTACACAGCAAGTGGGCCCCTAGTGCGCTCTTCCTATAAAGCAGGTGTGCCGATATGCCGACAGCATTCATTATTGCATGGATCTAGTTAATATGATCTCAAATATGTCATTCACAGTGAATATAAAGAAATGCAGTGGTATAAAAGACTTTCCCAAAATTACAGTGGGTATGTGCCACAGACTGACCCCTCAGTCTTTACGAACACCCGAGCAGAGATGCAAAGAACAAAATTAGGTCCAAGTTTTTGTACTTCCTTTTACTTTTAACTCCTCCTACTTTAAAACAGAAAGAACGTACGTCAGGCTTAAGCCCATAGACCGTATTTTAAGGTGAGAAAAGTTATTTAACATTGATGAAATGAAGACCTGTTTTTGTCCTGTCTCTTCCCTGAAAAGGGGGTTTCTTTCTGAAACACAGAAAGTGCTTTTTGATCAAACATGAACTAGTGATAAAATGCTTTGGTGACTTTGGAAGTTTCTACCGTCTAATTTGATACTTTTGTTAATGGCAGCTTGTTGTCTCTCTAATAGGTGAATTCTTCCTGAAGAACCTGATCAAGTCTGTGAGAAAGGATGACCAGGGCAGCTAGGACATGCCTTTCCACTCTGCTGTTATCTCTTGTGCATCACTTGTTCACCACCTTGGAAACTCCATCAGAGAGTGGAATGTAACACCTAATCAAGTCCATTCTGTGGGTGAATGTCAGCTTCCCAGTCTTTGAGAACAATTGTCCATTGATCTGAGCTTCCAGGGAATTAAATCAACTTTGAGTTTGAGGGCACACCTTATTTTCCGCATGGTTAGCTACTGATCAGAATGTCTTAGGCTGTTTCCATCCTGGTTAGAGGTTTTGAAGAGACACTAGGAAAGCAATTCAAGCTTTCTGCTTGGTCGGAATATCTTGCTTAATGACTGACAATTAAAAACAGTGTCCTGCTTCATTGTGGTGCTTCAGCAGAAACTGGGCTTCATACATCAAAGGCAAAGTAGACCAAAATTTCCTTCCAAATTTCCTTTTACATTGGGTGACTGCATTATAGTTGTGAACTCAGTGGCTTCTTGCTTCCTGTTAAGGTAAAATATACTAAAAGTCAACTGGTGGGGCACTTTTCTCAAAAATACATCTGGCTTAACCTACAGTTCATGCAGCTGTTCTTTAATCAGCTTGGTGGTGAAAACTAGCTGTTTTCAGTCAGAACTGTTTGAAACTGGGGATTCACATCTTGACTGAGTTAACCACAACTGTTGTTTTTTCCAAAATGTTCTCCTGACATTTCATAGAAGTGACACAAATAATACTGAACATGCTACTTGCAGGTGAGAGAACTATTACTTTGAAGTCTGTAAATGTTGTTCTTTTGTTTGCTTTGGGCAGTGGTAGTTTCCTATTAAGCTGATCTAGTGAACACTGAACCACAGTGGCCTTGTGGTCAAGAAATGTGTCTGGAAACTCCATCTACAGCACATATTCATCACTGAACAGCATACAATCACCTGTATTCCAACTGTGCAAATTATTGGTAATTTGTCTAAATAAATTAAGTCTCTTCATACAAAATAATGGGAGTTGTATTTGTCATTTTTCCCCCAATCCCTCTCCTGCCCCAGTATTGTTACTTGAGACCACTCGGTTTTAATGTTAGCGTACAGCTGTAGTGCAGTCATGAGGAAAAAAACAACAACAAAGATCATACAGGCTGGGTTTGTGAGCCGAAGTGCCTGGAGATACAGTACCAGTCTATGACCCCACAGCATGAACAGGTACTGCCATCATGAGGGGTTCTCCTGTGGAGTAACGTAGCAGCACCATAACAGAAAAAGCATTACAATTTACAAAACATACAATTATCTAGGAAGCCTGAGCTCTCAGGGTTTTATGGTATAGAGCCAAACAAAGGGCTGATTTATTTTTTAAAAAAGTGTACACTTTAATGCTCATAAAAAATTCATGGTGCCATATGATTCACAGGGTTTTGCAGTAATTTGACATTTGGACAGCTCAGGAGATTTAAAACTCAACTGATTCAATGAGCAGTTGACCATTCAAATTATGGGTTCAGTTGAGGTACAGAAACATCAGAGACAAAAAATAACCAAGTAAGCTCTTGTGGCGGTGAGCACAAAACATGCCTGTGGAAGTTAATGGTCCTTTTTCCTCTGTTTGAAAGGGAAAATGGAGAGTATTGGTGAAACATTCTTTATTGCTAAATTTTAAAATTCTGTACAATAGAAAAAATACATTTTTGGAGAAAAAGGTTAATTCATCTGAAAAGTGGTTTAAAGTGATGTTATTTCTACCACACATTTACTGTGCTTACAAAGCTTTTGAGCATTGGGCACAATGGATTACAAACCATTGTAAATGCATACAGGTAAAAATAGACAAGTTTTATAACACGGATCCAAGATCTTGATACAACACACCCAGCCACTTGTATTCAGAAAGAGTTAGCCCTGGAAAAGGTCACAGAAGCCCACAGCCTGTCCAGAACACGAAGGGTTTAACTTTACGGAAGCACATCACTTCAGTTCAGAGGCATTTCTGGGAAGTAGGAGGAAACCAGAAACTACACTGAAGGGTCCCCAGTCCAGAATCAAACCCGGACCAAAGAGCTGTGAGGTAGCAGTAGTCACAACCACTCCACCACAACGCCCAAGGAAAAACATGGGACACACTAGGTTAGATTTCAAACATAATTCAATCCAAATCTTTATGTACCTTGTGAACAGCACACACAAACCTATTTGTTTATGTCTTTTACTTGTTAATGGGTTCATGCTGGGTATTGTGCTTTGTCTTTTACCTGCTTGCATAGCACATTTCCCATCTGGGAACAACAAAGCAAGTGACCAGTTTTCAAAAGGTTTTAAATCGTGCCTGGAACAATTTTAATCGCTCCAAAAGTGTCAACACCTTGGAGCAAAAATACATACAGGAAACACTTTAAAAGGCACTAAAAAAATAGGACTGTGAAATGTGTATATTTTCAAGTAATTGGGCTTTATGAAGAAACAAGGAAACAAATACCTGTGCAAACTAAAAGTCTTGGGTAAACTACTCTGCATGTCTGCAGAGAAAACTGAACCTTCGATTGCTTCCCGACTGAACTGTGCCTCAGGTGAGGACCTCGAGAGAGGGACATCCAGCTAAAGTGCTTGCCAAAGAGCAGGATGAGCTCTGTGATCACAGGGTTCAAGCCTGGGTGGTCATGCCTGTCCACGAATCAGCGCTGAACATCTGCTGCAGGGATAAACTGCCTCTAATGTGCTAAGGGATGAGTGGTGTGGGGGCTGAGGAGTCCGTTTCCATGTCCTCATTCTCTCCTGCGGTTGTGGGAGCTGAGATTTGGAAACCACACAGCTGGTTATTCCCAACTGGCTGGGAATAAGAAAAAAGTGGCGATTCAGCTTGGGGGAAAAAACATTTTTGTTTCACTGGGAAACTGTCACGACAGCTGTAGAACGAGCAAGGTATAAGACTCGGAAAATCCAACTAGGGCTGAGAAAGTGGTTTAAAAAATACAATTTAAGTACTCTACACATATGACTCGGCATTCACACAGCTAAAGGAGAGACAACTTGTGTATTCAGCTGTAAACAAACACGTTACGAACCAATACTGCACGTGTACAGTCTACAGTTACCAAATGTACAAACTGTATAAAAGGAATCACTGTAATAAACGTTTATATGCAGCATTTCTATAATGCTTTGAGAAGCTCACAAAGAGTTAACCGTGAACAATTTTTTAGACAGAAATAGTTTGTGCTGGTGAAAGGGGAAAAGATTGAAATTGATCAATTCTGCCAGCCCCAGGGCTGTGTTAGACCAGAGACGAGCAGCCTCATCTCTTTCATTCCATTGCAAGACCTGTTTAAGCCGTTTTCTGTGCCCAAGATTCTACATCAACCCGGCTCCCTGTGTAAGCCAGTGGTTCCAATTCCCGGTCCGGCTGAGCCCCACACCTGTTGGGTTTTTGTCCCAGGCAAGCCCTCAGTTACACCACCAAACCATTCACTGGCTCAATGATAACAAGATTCACCGGAATTGTTTGTTCCCATCCCTGAAACCCGTTGGCGTATTTTTGTCAGTGGAATAAAATCCCAAACTGGCGACTAGAAACAAAATGCAAATATTCAACGGAGGCAACTTCTTCTTAGGTCAATAGTCAGGCTTCAGGGATCTCATGAAGGCGGGAGGGAACCACTGCCCGAGTCCTCTC